TGTGGAGGTCATTGTCTTTCAGTTGTGGAGTAAATGTTATCCTTTTGGATCCATCTGTGGTTGTTGTAGGTGAAACTGACATGCACAAAATCCCTTGATTGCTCTGGAGGTTTGTCAGTTGCTTAATTATAGTGTGGCTTGATTGCTCAAGCCCAACACCCTAAACTGGAGGTATACTACTTGATTTAATTACAGTAGGACTTGATTACTTGACTTGAGCACCTTAGACCTTGAATCGTAAGGGACTATATAGGTTGTGATAACAGGGCGGAACCCAAAATATTTTTCCAACTGGTACAGACACCTAGATTGGTGAGGGATCTGATGACAAGGAAGAGGCAATCACATTGAAAGGGGAATTTATTCATAATCAATTCAGAGTAGTTGGGCATGGGATGTGCTTGATACCAGGGTTAGAGCTGAGATTAACTGTATTATGTTTCAGGTAGTCCCAGCCATGAGTTTACATTCTCATGCAAAAGAGCACTGATATTATAATTTAGTCATTTGAATACTGCACATAGGCCCAGACAGTCTTGATGTCCAGCAGCAGGGTACTAATCAGAAAGAAATAGACATTCAAATACTTTGCATTTAAATGTCCTTATCCTATCCATTGTATTTACAAATACAGTGTTAATGATTTGAGATTTCTTTTTAAAGTTTTTTCTCTGTCCTGATAGTAAATGCTAAGTAGGAATAAATGTTAATATCTTGTATAATGTATCCTTCTTATAGAGTAGTTTTTGAAAGCCAATGACTTCATACATTACAGTTATTGCATTGTAATAAGTATCAGTAGGGCTATAATACTAACTATAGCATTTTTTGCTTAAGCACCTCAAAGTACTTTATTTCATTAAAACTTCACAGCAACCACATACAGTGGGTACAGGAATACCATTGGGGTTGTTTTATCTACCACTTGAATTCTGCAAACTCTGCAATGAAATATAGCATCTTTTTAACTATGCAAATTAATGCCACAGACCTGTTTAAAAAGGAAGCATTAAAGAAGGAGCTTTTCATTTGAAGCTCTAGGGAGTATGCAAAATGGAATCACCTGTGTTAGAATTAGACTAAGACAAATAAGTGTTACTTAAAGAGTGCTAAAAAGTCTAATGATCAGAGGTGATCAGGACAGCACCCGTATATAAACATTACTACGTCACAATGCTCTCTTCACGACTGGTCTCCTTAACTAATACTGGCTCTCTGGTTTATTATTGACTTAGGCCCTTATCCTTTTGTTGGATTCCACAGGCGCAAAAGAGTTTTCTGCAGAGCTTCTTTCAAAATCGGGACTGGAAAAAGAATCATGTCATTTGTTCAGCTGCTGGCACAACATCTTGCTGCACAAATGTGTTCTCTAAACAGTGCACAATGAGGGCTTAAAAACAGGATAAAATATTTTCTATAATGGATTTCCATCAGTTAGGTTTTAACACAGTTTTATAGCTATACTGCTTAGTGTTACATTATGCAAATTTGGTCAAGCTCTCTCCTCAGCTCCAGACAAAATGATGTTTGTCTTTTAGACTCATGTATTTCCTTCATTGTAAAAACCATTGCTGTTTTAAGTTGCTACAGAAATAGTAAGTTGGGTCCCTGTCATTTTCTTGATGGCTTACTCTCCAAAGAGAAAGCAAATAAATAATTAGATGTACTTTAAATAATAATATGTGCAAATAATTACAAACTAAATAAATGACCAGTTGTGCATAGTCTCCGAATTTCTCTGAAATTCTTACCAGTAGAAAGACATCTCATAACTGTGTTCCAGTCCCCTGTCTGGAGAGTTTACACAAGCAAACTTTCTAGCCAGGGAGCATCAGTGGGCTGCTCTCTGGGCTATCCCTATCCTTAAGGGAACCCATTACTTACCAGCTTGTCCTCTCCCCTGCTTGGGAATGGGGCAGGCTGTTGAGAGGCAGACCCTCCCACACTGGCTTTTAAATCCCCATTTGGGCTGCATACAGGCAAGGAATTGTCTGATTTAAAGCCAGAGGAATGGGGAAACAGTCCTAGGCTCCCTAGATTTTAAATCATCATTTGTGCCACCTAGCAGGGCAGCACACGCGACGTTTAAAGCCTGCAGGACTGGAAACAAGGGCAGGGAGAGCTTCCAACTAGTCCTGGAGAAGAGTGGAACAGGATGGCAATTCCAGTCATCGCAACTGAAAGATTGTTCTGGCTGCTCCACTCCCCTCCTAGACCAGACTGGTAGGGGAGAGTACAAGCATTTATTCTTGTGAGAGTTTCAATCTCAGAGGAATATTGACACCTGGAAGATCTTTCTCCCAGAGGGGTCACATTCCCCACCAGGAGAAAATGAATGAACATTTCTATGTTCATAGTTTTTACTAGAAGTAGAGCAATTCTCCCATTGGAAACATAACACGTGTACATAGCCTAAAATCTTTAATACATGTAAAGAAATAGCTGCTACTGTCCACTGTTGTGTCCTTTTTACTACATACATCTCTATAATTTTGTGTGTATGTATTCACATAGTAACCCCAAATACAAGAGTGTTTAGGAACTATGTATATAAGGATTGGGACTGAGTCGTGGAAAACAGTGAAGCAACTCTGAAAAAAGAAATCAGGACAAAGGTGGACAGCCAGCTGAATATGAGCTCCTGATGTGATGCTGTGAGTAACAGTGCTGATACAACCCATATATATATATATATATATATATATATATATAATTTTTTTTAAGAAATATCAAGTAGTAGAGGAGAGGCGACATTATTTCTATATATAGAATTACTGGCACCATTACTGGAATACTGAGGGCAGTCTTCTGGCCACTCTTCCATAAAGGATGTTGAAAAATTCCAAAGGGTTACAGCTGAAAAAAGGGAAAGGAAATATTTTAGGGAGAAAAAAAATTAAGAAAGCTTTAAAAGTGGTTTGGGTTTTGGTAAATATGCTTTTATAAGGAGAGACTAATGAAGCTTCTTTATTTAGTGTATCAAAGTGTTGATTAAGAATTAATTAAATAGTTTTGATAGTGCAGGGTCCTTTAATGTGGCAAATAAAATGTAAGAAATCTAGTGGTTGGAAGCTGATGCTAGAACATTTGGTGTCAAATGAGAGTGCAACTGTCTAAAAGTGAAGTTATTAACCACTGAAAGGAAAAACTTAGGAAGGATTCAGATTTGTCTTTCATAGCTTGAGCCTTTACATCAAGATTGGTTTCTAAATCTTTTGAAATCAATGGGCACATCCAGGCATGCATGGATGTTTGGCTTCCCGTGGAGAAGTAGTGGCAATGCACCTTGTGCCACTGCTTCTTGTCCCCGGGGAACACCTGTGCCATGCGCACTTTGACACGTGGCAAGTTGCCCTGGGTGGGGTAGGGAAGGATGTGGCTAGCACTGAGCTATCCCCACCAGCCTTACCTGGGGTACTGGAGGCCTCCCAGGGATGCAGCCACGGTGATTCTGCTGTGTGAAGCATGGCTTCGGGTGGCCTGGCTCCGCTTTTCAGCAGCACATGTGGCCAAACGTCCATTGCTCCGGTTTTTTTTGGTTTTTTTCCATGGGTTTTTTGGGGGGGGGGTTTTGACCCCTGAATATCCAGAGGTCAAAAAAAGTGGCCAAACGTCCATTGCTCCGGTTTTTTTTGGTTTTTTTCCATGGGTTTTTTGGGGGGGGGGTTTTGACCCCTGAATATCCAGAGGTCAAAAAAACCCCATGGAAATAAACCTGGCGCAGCGCGCACACAGGCTGCATGCCCTTGCAGGGCAGAGAACACTGGACTATGTGGTATGTGGTGCTGCAAATGTGTTTGAAGCTCCACATACTGCATGACCACGCTCTTTTTGTGCTTGTGTCTTGAAAAAGCCCTCATTTTGTAGTAAAATGTATAAAAGGTTGTTAAAAGATTTAAGTTTTAAAAACCACTTTATTTTGACATGCTCATTTCTTTTGTAAAAAAAAAAAAAATCACCGTATCATAGGTAATCTACCTTGAACAGTTGAGCAGAATACTTTCTGCTCTTGCTACTTCCAAGGATTTGGAGTGCTATTGTGCCTGATTTTGTCTTTTTACTGACATGTATTTCCAGTCTTTGCTGCAAAGAGTTCAGAATGTAGGTTATAATAATGAGAAATGGGTCAGGCAAACAGGAAGGAGAAAATGGGTTGTTGAGAGAAGAGTAAAATATGAAAACAATACAATTAAGATATGGCAATACTGAAGAAAACAAATTATTGTTAGGGAATGCTGGCAAGATTTAGCAGACTAAATCCAGAAACAAAGGTAGCAGATGCAAAGTCAGCCAGGGTGTTGAAATGGGAAAG